TCAAATCAACCGCCAAAACCGCCTTTTCAAAACCCCCCCTGACCTATCGCTTCATTTCCTGCCCCAACGCTTCATCTTCCCCCACGACACTGCCACGTGTATGGCCACGATGCACTGTCCCCTACCCTTACCCTGTCTTTTCCATTTTCACATCAGCACATTTTAGAACCCCACGCCCCCCTGGTCGGCACACTTCACGGTCGACCCCTGCCGCTCGGCCACCCTCGTGGTCGCCCCGCCTCACGGCCGACCTCTCCCGCTCGGCCACCCCCGTGGTCGCCCCGCCTCACGGTCGCCCCCTCCCGCTCGGCCACCCTCGTGGTCGGCCCACCTCACGGCCGACCCCTCCCGCGCGGCTACCCTCATGATCGGCACGTCTCACGGTCGACCCCTGCCGCTCGGCCCCCCTCGTGGTCGCCCCGCCTCACGGCCGACCTCTCCCGCTCGGCCACCCCCGTGGTCGCCCCGCCTCACGGTCGCCCCCTCCCGCTCGGCCACCCTCGTGGTCGGCCCACCTCACGGCCGACCCCTCCCGCGCGGCTACCCTCATGATCGGCACGTCTCACGGTCGACCCCTGCCGCTCGGCCACCCTCGTGGTCGCCCCGCCTCACGGCCGACCTCTCCCGCTCGGCCACCCCCGTGGTCGCCCCGCCTCACGGTCGCCCCCTCCCGCTCGGCCACCCTCGTGGTCGGCCCACCTCACGGCCGACCCCTCCCGCGCGGCTACCCTCATGATCGGCACGTCTCACGGTCGACCCCTGCCGCTCGGCCACCCTCGTGGTCGCCCCGCCTCACACGGGCCATATCAGCAGACAAAGATCTGCAGAATTATTATCACAACACATCACCATTAATGCATCCCATCACAGCATTTATTACGACAGCATCCCCCCGCCGAAACAGAGCCTCCATCACCCTGAACAAGATAAGCTACGGCACAGGCTTTCGGCGAAGGAAAGCACGTCACAAGAGACAGGAAAAATGATAGCTAAAGAATATAAGCAAGGATAGGAGGAGAAGAATAAGGTTAAGCTATCTCTCTCTCTCGATCTCTCTCTACACAGTTTTTCTCCTACTCTACTAATTCTCACACTGGAGGGTTCACTGGGGGACTACCCCGTTCCCCTCTGGGCTTGCATGCAGGTCACTTGACGGAGTCATCACCCTGAGCCAGAGTCTGAAGAGCCTGGACCGGTCCGACCCATCCACCCGGGAAGCAGAAACTCATAACCCTATCACTGACAAAATTAAAAAATGAAAATCAAAGGCAAGTCCTTAGTTTGTTTTGGTTGTGGAGTCTGGACATTTTGTATTTGAAATCGTTTTGATTCTGTTGTTAAATGAATGGATTCCTTTTAACTTTTTTATTTTTTATTTTTGGATTTTAACCTTGTTTGGTTTTGATGATTTATTTTTTGAAAATTAAGTTTTTCATTTGTTTGTTTGCTTATTTTTTCAGTGATTTTTTTGTTTGTTCATATTTTTTGAAATTGCTTGATGTTTATACAATATAACAGAACGTTACTGATGTTTGATGATGTTGATGATGTTTGTTTTGATAAAAAAATATGAACAAAACGTTGTTGATGTTTGATAACGTTGTGATGTTTGTTTTGATAAAAAAAATATGACCGGAACGTTGCTGATGTTTGATGATGTTGATGATGTTTGTTTTGATAAAAACATATGAACAGAACGTTGCTGATGTTTGATGACGTTGTGATGTTTGATTTGATAAAAAAATATAAACAGAACGTTGCTGATGTTTGATGATGTTTTGATGATGTAGTTGATATTGTTGATGTTCGGAAAGGAGAAAAATCTAAAAAAGACATATAGTGAGCTTTTAACATTCAAATAGAACTTATTAGTCTATAAAATAAAAAACATGACCAAATAGTTTAACAAATTAAAATTTAAAATTTATTGATGTTTTACCCTTTAAATAAAGCTTATGTTATTATTCAATTTTAAAATTATTTTTAGTTATTTATTTATCTGTGCGTCGCACGGATTCATATGTTAATTAACTAAAAAAACGAAGAAAAGGAAAAAAATATATATGAAAGGAAAAGAGAGGAGGCCGACGGTGAGAACCCTCTCCATTCTCAATGACACACACAGCCGAAGACAGAGAAAAACACTTAAAAAAAGATGCCCTCAATTTAGAGAGAGCAATGCAACCTCATCCTTGGAGAAGGAAGAATTGTTAAACACATCATTCCTCATTATCCAAAGGGATCATCGAACTACGAAGGGTTTTATTTAGGGTTGAGCGTGGAGTCATTCGACTTGTGAAAATCGCTTAATTCAATTTGATTTGTGCATGTGCGGGCGATTATGAATCTATAGTAGGGTCAGATGCGATTTAAAATATTTTTATGTTTTGGATTGCAAGTTTCACTCGCACCCGCACATACGCGCCCGCACTAATACTTTTTTTTCCCTCATAAATTCTAAACAATCTTAACCTTCCATATTAGTAGATATATATATATATATACACATACATAATATATAATATATTTCAAGTAAATTGAACTTCTTTTGTTTATATACGTGAATGGAATTGTATTTTTTTTTAAGGTATGGATTATCAATTTCTGAATCTCTAAGATTAAAATATTATGAATAAAAAATGATTCAAAAATAATGATTTTATGGACTAAAATAATATTTAGAAAATGAGAAGAAAATGCCCAAAATAAATATTTAGAAAAAGGGGAAAAATAGGTCCAAAAATAATTTTTTAAAAGAAAAAGTCCAATCCGCAAACTGTCCGCAACTGCTCACATATTTGCGAACCTTATCTGCACAACCTGCAATCCATACTACGGGCGGTTGCGGGTTCAATTTTTTCAAACCGCAGACATACGGACATGTCTAAATCACAAACCGAACAATCAAAAACCGATTTATGAGCACCCCCACTTATACCTCCCAATTTTTTTTTATTTATTTATTTTTTAAAATTTGAAACCATGCCACTAGTCAAGAAGATTTTTAAGTCTTGGTTTGGGATATGAATTGACTTTTTAACTTTTTAATTTTTTGATTTTTTGATTCTTTTAGTCTGAAGTTAAAAAGTCTCGTTTAAGATATATTTTTTTATTTTTTTAACTTTTATAAAAAAAATAAAATAATTATGAATTAAATGTGATATTTTATTCTATTTAACTAAAACAATTAATTTTACCATATAGTCTACATGAGGACACCCATTACACCACAGCGGCGCCCCGCCGTGTGTGTGTTGGGGGGGGGGACGATGTGGTTTTTTAATTTGCTCTAGTTTAGGTTAAAAATCACAAAAAAAATAAAATAGGCTAAAATAATTAATAAGACAAAATATCACATCAAACCCATAATCATTTCACTTTTTCTCTCACAAACATCACATCCAATCACAAAAAAATCTAATCATCTTCCCAAACACAAAAATTTTAACCTACTAAAATAGCTAAAAATTAAAATAACCTACTAAAATAGCCACTTTCCAAACGAGGCCGTAGTTTACTATAATTTGTTTTTTAACTCAAAGCAACATCATTTTGAATAAAATAATATTATTTTTTTAATTTGCTCCATATGTAGTTTACTCTAGTTATTTAGAAATAATTATATAATTCTCACATCATTTGAAAATTAAAATGCAATGTTAAATTATTTAACCGCTTAAGTAAAAAAATTAAAATATCTTTATACTTAAGTAATATTATCATGCAAGTTACAAATTTTTGGTTTAACCCCTATATTTTACTCTTTGTGCAATTTATCTTTTAGATATTTTGGTTTCAGTTTTTTGAATTTAATTTTCTTTAAATTGGGTTTGTTTTTATTTTCGTATTTTTTTGTTTTTAGTGAATATTTTTTTAATTTTAAACCATTTTTTTACATTTTTAGATATACCTTACTTAGATGTATCTAAATAGTAAAATATTTGTAAAAAAATATTTTAAAAAATTAATAAATACACAAAAATACAAAAAATGTATTGAATTTTCATATTTTTGTATTTTTGATATTTAGTAAATTTTTTAAAGATTTTTTTCACATATGTTATATATTTTAAATGTATTTATGTTAGGTATGTCTAAAAATTTTATAAAAAAAATTATTTAAAATATTAAAAAAATACAAAAGATAAAAAAATAAAATTTTTTGAAAGGTGTTTTCAAAAAATTAAAACTAAACAAACTAAATATAACTTTTTATATGCAGACACGTATTTTACATTCATTTAGACAAAATATTGAACGATGCATTCTCTTCTTAAACTAATTGAGTACTCTTTGACTATTTCTAAGGTCAAGTTTGGCATGATTGGAAAAAAATAAAAAGTCAAAAAGTCGCTATCCTATTTAAGTCACATCATCTTATTTAAGTCACATCACCTCTATAACACATCACTTCAAACCCAACCCAAACCCAACCCATATTTCATAAAAAGTCAAAAAGTGCACTTATTTAGTCTTCCTAAACTAGACCTAAATAATGAAAGGTAAATTGCATATACACCAAACAAGACTAATTCCGTTTCGAAATGGTGAGAAAGGCAATTCTCTTATCAAGTTTCTTTTGTTTCTCATAAAAATGATAAGATTTTAGTGAGAAATAACTTGATTAGTTGTAAAATATTTATGATATCAAAATTATTTTTTAAAATATAAAGGGATAAAAAAATCTCACTCATATTTTTCTTGTTTTATTTTCTTGCTCATCCAATTATTTGGGAACAATTTATTTTAGCATACTTGTTTTCTTTTTATCTCATTTGGATCACATTATCTTTATATTTTTTTGCATATCTGTTCATAAAAAATAAAAATAAAAAATATTAAAATAACTTATTCCCAAAAGTAAAGTACTAAAACATATTATACCCTCATACCTTTTCATTTGCCCTCCACCACCGTAGACACATTTGTAATCATGTATTGATAATTTTTTTTTTTAATCTAGTTTTTTCGAATAAATAAAATAACATAAATTATTTTTATTTTTTTTCACCCTATCCAAACGGAGTGTAAAGTGAAATTTGTCCTGAAATCGTCCCATCTAGCGTTTCGCCACTGAATAGCGAAGCCATCTAGCTTTCATGGTGTCTCTGCTTAGTCTTCTACATCTTCGGCGACTTCACCTTCAACCTCAGCACACACTATCTTTAACTACTACCCACAATGCTCTCTTCTTCAGACAATTGTCTTACACTCCTCGTGTTGTTGATTCCCAGATCACTTCATCATCATCCCAATCTGTTGTCAGAACTGTGTGTTCTTTGGTCTGTCAATCTTACTACCAACAACAAACTCATTTCAGAGGAACACATCCCAGGCTAACTCTTTCAATTAATTCTAGGTATTTGAGTCCTGAGCAGGCCATCACAGTTGTTGCTTCTCTCGCCGACGAGGCGGGTTCAATGGTAGCGTTGAGTTTCTTTTACTGGGCAATTGGGTTTGTCGAATTCAGGTATTTTATGCGGTTTTATATTGTCTTGGCCACGTCTTTGATTGAAAATGACAATTTGGAGAGAGCCCATGAAGTAATGCAGTCTATGGTTAGGAATTTTGCTGAAATTGGGAAGCTTAAGGAGGCTGTTAATATGGTTATTGAGATGAAAAATCAGGGCCTGGTGTTGAGTACTGAGACCCTGAATTGTGTTGTTGGTGTGGCTACTGAAATGGGTTTGGTTGAAATTGCAGAGAATGTGTTTGATGAAATGTCTGATACAGGGGTGTCCCCCAATTCTTCTAGTTTTAAGCTAATGGTGATTGCATATTGCAGGGTGGGTAGAATTGCGGAAGCAGACAGGTGGTTGAGTGCAATGCTGGAGAGGGGCTTTCTTGTCGACAATGCAACTTGCACGTTGATCATCAGCAGATTTTGTGAAAATAGTTATGTGAATAGAGCGTTTTGGCTATTTGGTAAGATGCGTGAGATGGGTTTGACTCCAAACATGATCAACTTCACTTCTATGATTAATGGGTTGTGCAAGAGGGGTAGCATCAAGCAAGCATTTGAATTGTTAGATGAAATGGTCAGAAAAGGCTGGAAACCAAATATATATACCCATACAACATTGATTGATGGCCTCTGTAAGAAGGGATGGACCGAGAAGGCATTTAGACTATTTCTTAAGCTTGTTAGGAGTGATAAGTACAAACCAAATGTGTACACGTACACTGCAATGATAAATGGGTATTGCAAAGAGGACAAGTTGCATCGGGCAGAGATGTTGTTGACCAGGATGGAGGAACAGGGATTGGTTCCTAACACCAATACATATGCAGTTCTCATTAATGGGCATTGCAAAGTGGGGAATTTCAATAAAGCATATGAGCTAATGGATGAAATGGGTAAAAATGGTTTCACTCCCAACATCTGTACATACAACACAATTGTTGATGGACTCTGTAAGAAGGGAAGAGTTCAAGAGGCTTATAAACTGCTGGAGAGGGGATTTAAACATGGACTGCAAGCTGATATAGTCACGTATAACATCCTCATGTCTGAGCACTGCAAGGAGACTGATACTAGACAAGCCCTGGTGTTTTTGAGTAAGATATTGAAAGTTGGCCTCACACCTGATATGCATTCATACACCACATTAATTTCTGCTTTTTGCAGGCAAAAGAAAATGAAAGAAAGCCAGCAGCTTTTTAATGATGCTGTCAGGCTTGGCTTGGTTCCAACCAAGAAAACTTACACATCCATGATAAATGGATATTGTAGAGACGGAGATACCAGCTTGGCTGTAAAGTTATTCCAGAGAATGGGTGCACATGGCTGTGTACCAGATAGTATTACCTATGGTGCTCTGATAAGTGGGCTTTGCAAAGAGAGTAAATTGGATGAGGCTCACAGGCTCTATGCTGCCATGATAGACAAGGGAATTTCTCCATGTGAAGTTACTCGGTTGACATTAGCTTATGAGTATTGCAAGAAGGATAAATCTGCCACTGCCATGGCTGTCTTAGACAGTTTAGACAAAAAGCTATGGATCCGCACAGTTAATACCTTGGTCAGGAAGCTTTGCAGTGAGAAGAAAGTAAACATGGCTGCATTGTTTCTCCACAAACTAGTAGATAAAGATCAGATTGTGAATCATATAACTATTGCAGCATTCATGACTGCATGTTATGATAGCAATAAATATGCACTTGTTTCTGATATCTCCGAAAAGATTTCAAAAGGAATTGGTTAGTGGCCCAGACATTATGAAAGAGTGATTCATTTGGTGTGAATAATTGAGCTGCCCAAGTGCCTTCTTTGATGGGGCCTGAAAGCAGTTTATTCACTTGATTCTCTTGAGAGACGAGTTAGATACTAAATAGAAGGCTGGTAGACGAGCATGTTTCTTTATGATCAAGTTCAGGATGCTGTGTCGTATTTTTGGTTGACAGCATGTTTCTGTGCTGACTAATACTTCGATAGTTTCTTTTGGGAGATGAGGCTTTAATGATCTATACACAGGTTGTGGTTGTTTTTGAATTTTTTTTTTACAAATTGTTACTTGCCAAAAATATACAGCCATGCAACTAATTGCAATTTTTTTACCACATAGCCCTAGTCTCCTTAATTTGTCAGCATGCAACTAATTGCAATTTTTTTACCACATAGCCCTAGTCTCCTTAATTTGTCAGCACGGGGAAGTAGTAAACCCAATATTTTATTGATTTTTTTAGAGTTTTGGAAGCACATTAGGAATGCTGGAAAAAAAAAAAAGAAAAAGAAAAAAGAAAATACATGTATGACACGGGATGGGAATTGATATTTTTTGAAATTTCTTTGGGGGGGGGGGGGGACTGAAATTCAAATTTTGATTTTTTGTTTTTATGAATAGATTGCAGGGCTCACAAACAACTCTTGTATGTCCGAGTCACATAAAGGGCATTATTGTGTACTGAAGCATCAAACTCCCGGTGAATATGTGTTTGCAGTTGCAAAGGTAATGATATTAGGGTTCAGCAAGACAAAAAAAAGGGATATTTGAGCCATTGATGTGAGAGCTGAGAGATCACTGGGAACTACTGCCAATAAGGCTGGTTGTTTGTGTATCCTGATTTTGAAGATAATGCTTTATCAATGAATTCTAGAATTGAGATGGAAGAAATTGCAAAGTTTCTATGCTGTTAGATGAAGTGTGCTGTCCTCCTTTGACTAATGTACTGAAATTTTTGAACTCACCCAGGCGCATCTTCAGGTTCCTGAAGCCCTTCTCCAGGAGATCAAATCTCTCGGCAGCTTAGATATAAAGCTGCTCTATAAATATGCTTTGGACATTAGGAAAGGCAACGGGCGGGCCAGAGCCGGGGACTACACTCCCCGTCTCCGATCCTCGAAAGTAATAAATTTTCCGTCCCCGCCCCCGATCCCCGGCGGGGAGCCCGTTGTGCCTCCCGCCCCTGCTCCCGATCGGGGATCAGGTATCCCTGACCCCAAAAAATCTCTGAATTACAGTAGCATATCAGTTTTTTTTTTTTTTTTTTTTCAAAGGAAAGATTAACAGTGATTTGTAAACATCTTCAAATTAAAAAAAATAGCATATCTGTCAATATATCCTATTTAAGCTCCACACAAAAGATATTCAAATAGCATATTCAAGCTCTACTCAATAGCATATCTGCCAAAATATTTTCAAATAGCATATCTGTCAACATATTTTTAACATATTCAAATAGCATATTCCATCCAGCAACCTACACAAAGGAAAATTGAGTAAGTTGCAAAGAGAAAAATTAGTCCCAAGGCCAACCCGCAAGGTATTGGCTATCCAAAAAAAAAAAAAAAAAAAAAAATAAAAAAAAAAACAAATCCATTACAATATAAAAAACCAAATCCATTGTGAAAAAAAAAAAAAAAAAAAAACAAAAACAACATTGTTTCTTCAATACTCTGATACAACCAAACCACAACTTTCATCATCTCCCTCAACTTGAATTCATGTTAAATAAAAAAAGGAAAAAAACAAATAACAGTACTAATAATAAGATGTAAAAAATGTTAACAATTAAAACAAAAAAGATGACAACCAACACAAAAGTGGTACACGACTCATCTGAGTCGATCTCATCGTCATCATCATATATAGTCGCATAGCCCACCGATTCCAATGTTGAATTTCCTAAAAAGTAAAGAATATAAATTCAATATTGAAATTTCCATGGTAATATAAAAGTGAAATAATAATATGTAGATTGGATGAAATAATAATATGAATACCTTTTATCTCTGCACCCCACAACCAACTTTGTGCACACATTAATGCTTCTAATGTGTTTGGATGAAGTCTACTACGATTGGACTCACCAACCTTCCACTAGTACTAAATGCTGACTCAGAAGTAATAGTGGATACATGAATAGTTAAAATATCCCTAGCCATTGCCTATAAGGTCGGATACTTTGGTCCATTAGCTTTCCACCAATTCAAAACATCAAAACTTGAAGTTCTTTGTCTCTGCACCCCACAACCAACTTTGGGCACACATTAATGCTTCTAATGTGTTTGGATGAAGTCTACTACGATGTGGACTCACCAACCTTCCACTAGTACTAAATGCTGACTCAGAAGTAATAGTGGATACATGAATAGTTAAAATATCCCTAGCCATTGCCTATAAGGTCGGATACTTTGGTCCATTAGCTTTCCACCAATTCAAAACATCAAAACTTGAAGTTCTTTGCAAAACATCATCCTCTAGATAATGGTCCAACTCTGATCTTACATTCTTCATTTTTTTTGTTTCTCTTTCCACTAATAAACAAATCATACTCTGAAAGGGTCTCTGTAACAATATCTGGATGAATAGAAGAGTCACCAACAATATCGGTCTCCATACCAACTCGGTGTTGATACTCTTGCAACAAATCATAACAAATCTGGCGAGCCCTATCAACTTCATCTTCAGCTTTGTCCCCATAAAGTTTTTCAAAATAAAACTCCAATACACTCATCTTATACCTAGGATCAAGTACAACAGCAACTCCAATAATACCATGTATCACTAACCAATATTTATCAAAATTTTCTACCATTTTTTATGCCATTGTTCTAATCACTTCAATTTCACAAGATAGCCATTGAGACAGTGTCATCTTAATCTCACATAAAGCTGGAAAACAAATATTGGCTGTGGGATACTTAGTACCAGAAAATAACTCTGTGATAGAAAAAAATATCTTAAACCTCCCACTAATCTCTCTAGCAAATTCCTATTCTTCCTCAATTGGCACGGTCTTATATTGGGGCTCTCTATTTTTCAACCGAGAGAAGACATCCTTACACAATAAGGCAATTTGAAGCATCAAGAAGGTTGAATTCCACCTAGTTGCACAATCAAGTCCTAATTTCTTAGTATGTGAATTACGTAATTGATTGACTGTTTCTTCAAAATTTTCTTGTCTTTTTGGTGTTGCTGTCCAATAAGCTACACTCTCTCAAATTTTCTCCACACCCACTCGTATGACATCCAATCCATCTTTCATAATCAAATTCAAAATATGCGCACAACAACGCATATGAAACAAAGTACCGCCCAACAAAAGCGATGTATTACTCAACTTATCCATCAACATGGTAATCATGGCATCATTTGTGGAGCAATTATCAACAGTGATAGTAGAGATTTTTCTATCAATATTTCAGTCCATCATACACTCAAGCAAAGTATCACAAAGAACTTCTTTTGTGTGTGGACATGGAACATAAATAAACCTAAAATATAATATTCATGAACAAGTATTAATAACATGCAAATTGAATTGAATAAGATAGAACTTTTAAATGATTTGCAAATTTATACCTCAAAATGCGACTTTGCAATGTCCATGAATCATCAATAAAGTGTGCAGTGACAGCCATGAATCCTTTCTTTTGATTACTAGCAGTCTACATATCAGTTGTGATTGCCACCCTACTTTTATTATGCTCTACAAAACTTAATGTCTTCATCCTTTCATAATCATAAATCTTTAAAATATCACTCTTTATTGTATTTCGAGAAGGTACTTTAAACAATGGTTGAACTGCTGCTGAATATCATTTAAAACCAACATGATCTACGATAGAAAGGGGATATTCATGCAATATTATGGCATGTGACAACTCTTTCCTAGCAAAATCTTGATAAAAAATATACGAATTCATTTTTGGACTCTCTCTATTAAAGTTGTTAGTTAAAACTTTTTGCCTCATGTCCATCATTTTTTTCCTAGTACAACTCTTATAGTGATCATGCAAATGCCTAGTTCCATTTTTTTGAGTCACCTCCAAGATGCTTATTACAATAATTACATATTGTCTTCCACACTCTATTGACTTGTTATTTCTTAAAGTGTTGCCACACAAAACTAAGTTTTCTTTTAGTTCCTCCACAAGTATTAGACTCTTCTTCTAAATCAATAACATTTTGATTAGAGAGGGGAGACAGTGAGTTCGTAGGTGAGTTGGTAGCTAGCGATGATTGTTGTGACGCCTCACTCTCAAATGGTACTTGAGAGTTAACTGGTACTTCAGAGTTAACATCTAACATTTTTAACCTTTATAAAAATAATATGGATTGAATTAATGTTAACAGAGGCAACATAAAATTGGTCCTTAAACAACAAATCATTAACCAATACTAAATTTAGCCACCATTCAAGAATTCTAAATATGCCATATGCCAAAATCAGTATATAATCCAAACAAAATGACAAAGCTTAAACTTAGTCAAACCATTACCCAAAATCCAACAAAAAGTTTCGCCCTTTAGCCAATAAATATGACAAACATTCAGTCACCAAGCTAATGAAATCATATCATAAACATTTAGAATCCACCAGTGATTGCATGAAAAAAATAAAAATAAAATTATTTTTTTAAGAAAAATACACACAAAAAAATTAAAACCATGAGATGTAGAGTGTTACCCTTAAATATATAACTCGTTGTTTTTTAATCTCTCTGACCACCACATTACTACCAAAGCAGTTAAATTTTTTGAACTTGAAACTGAGAAACAAATTAACTAAACATTTGAAAATATCAAAGAAACAATTAATAAAAAAAAAATGAGTTTATGTTTTTTTTGTTTTCTTTCTCTGTTTCTTTCCTAAGATGAGTTTTTGATTCTGTCATGATTACTGTTACTTTAATTTAAGTTTCTTTATTTTCCACAAAACATGAAAATTATGGAAATCTAGAAAGTTAGAATCTCAAAATCTCATGGTTTGTTAAATTTTGTTGTTTTAAACTTAAAATTCTTAAATTTTGTGTCAAATTACCCCTTCAAACTATCATATTCAGCCTCAGGTCATAAACTAAAAAACAAAATAGATATATAAAATAAATAACTAGATATATATCATCAATGACATATATATTTAAAATAAATAGATCAATAATTTAAAAAACAGATCATACATATCAATGAGAGAGGTCGAAAACAGATCATATATATATTTAAAATAAATCATATATATATATTTAAAATAAATAACAGATCGTTGTTATATATATATATATATATATAAAACAGATCATCGAAAACAGATCAATAACAGATCATATATATTTAAAATAAATAAATTTAGAGAAGAAAAAAAAAACAGAGGTTGAAATCCCTAGAGAGAGACTATATATACATTCATATATATATATATATATGTAAATCCTAGATCGAAATCCCTAGAGAGAGAGCGACAAATTGAGAGATACCCTTTGAAAATCGGTAGTAAGGGAGAATCGGCGGTGAGGGAGGAGCGGCAGTGAGGAAGCAGCAGCCGTTGTGTGTGAGAAAGAGAGAGGGAGATGAAACTCTAAATAGCAGCGACGGTGAGGGAGGATCGGCAGTGAGGTACAAGCAACGGTAAAGGAGAATCGACGGTGACAAAGGAGCGACAACTGTTGTTGTGTGTGAGAGAGAGAGAGAGAGGTGAAACCCTAAACTAAACAGCAACGGTAAGAGAAAGAGAAAGTAGCAGCAG